AAATAAAATTGAATTGAATTGAGGGGATGTGGAGGCGGCAGTGAGAGTGTTGTGGAGATAAAGGAATAATGTTCTTCTCGAGCTCTAAAACATGCTTACATTAAACCTTTGTGCAGGTGATCTGTAATATCCTATTTTAACATCTGCATCAGTCTAAAGCCACATACAGCTCCCATCTCCCATCAGCTTCCTCACCAGTTACGTTCTCTGACCCTGATCCATGTCTCTCTTCCCGCTGCCGTGTGCTGCTGTGGTCCTTTCTGTGTTTGGTTGACTTGATTAAATCCATGGTGTAATGGGAAACAAATTATGGCTTGTGCAGCATGATGAGCTGAAGGGGGGATAATTAGTATGTTCATCCACCTCTTCGAAGAAATGTGTGTGTGTATGGCACTTCTCCCAATTCACACTCCTTCCCCTCCTCCCTTTTCTCATTTGTTGGACGTCTCCCATGTGTGTTTGTGTGTGCGCAGCTCATGTCCACGTATCCGCATGTCGTTGTTGTAGCGCAGACATCCTGGTGTGTTTTCACAGTGCAGTGAATTGTTAATATGTATTCACGAGTAGTTACTTGAAGCATTGCCACCAGAGTCATCAGTCTTTAGCCTGGAAGTGATCCGTCAGTTGCTCTAATGATCCAGCACACACACATACACACTCTGTCACTAGGTCGTCTGTCCTTGTCAAGCATGCCAGGTTTAGTAACTCTCACATATGGCCCAAGAGTCGATGCAACCTAATCGTCACTCTGGGCAACATCAGGGGAGAGGGTGGGGTCCAGCAAGTTCTGATTGACTGACAGATGGACACCGGCAAGGATAAGCTGTGCTGGCAAAGTCAAGTGTGTGAAGAAAAAAAAAAAAGAAAAAAACACGAACGCACCCATAAATATGACAGATGGACTGTAAAGTTAGGTTTTAATGTCATTAATGTAACTCAGTCGGCATCCATTTTAAGAATCTATTTGTGAATGTCGCTGAAGCAAAAGATGACGAATATTAATGGATTTCTAAAATAACCCGCAAATTACAGGAACATATTAGTTGTCGTTACGATGTGAAGTATTACTGCTGAGTCACTGAGAGTCTTAAGCTGGCTTTTTGAAGATTTATCGCCACTTTTAAGCTGTCAGTTTAGTATCAAGATGAACAAGTTTTGCTGCGTGGTTATAAATGGCTTTTCTTACATGACTCATGCTCTATTCTAGTGTTTTTGTCCACAAAGCACTTATGGGTATTGGTAGGAATTAATCTAAATTATATACAAGTAAAAACAAGTTGAGGTGGCTCAACTTGTCTCTTCTACACACCAGCTGTGGTTCAGTGTGTCTTGTTGCTGTTCTGTTTTTTAAACCTCTTTCTCCTTCTCTTTTCTTGTCTTGGTCCAGTGGTATTGGTCGAAACTGGCCATGGGCATCCGGTGGCAGCAGCATCCTGGCAGAGTATGGCACCCTGCATTTAGAGTTCATGCACCTCAGCAAACTCTCAGGAAATCCGGAGTTTGCACAGAAGGTAACAGATGCGCATGAGAATAGATAAAATTACTTTTTCCACACTTAATGGCTGCATGATTTCCACTTACACTCTTGCACTTTAGAAGTGTCTGTAATGTCAGGGAACTGTCTAAGGAAGCAATGAAAACTGCAGTGCACACCGCTCTTCCCCCCTTTACCTCATTTGCCCCAGACGGATATCGATTATGTCACATTTCTAACAGTTTCTGTCTTTACAGAGTGTTGCATATAATCACTTTATATTCTGTATTTCCAATGCACTGCACAATGTGGTGCCTAAAGTGATCTTTACTTGATGCATTTGTGTTGTATTTTTTTGATTGTTAGGTAATGAACATCCGGAAAGTACTAAATCGCCTGGACAAACCCCAAGGGCTCTACCCCAACTACCTGAACCCCAACAGTGGCCAGTGGGGCCAACGTAAGTTCTCCTCCCCCCTCTATGTCCTCCCAACTGATTTTTTTTTGTCTTGCCCATCTCTTGCATTTCCCACTTGTTTTGTACTTGAGTGTCATGGCAATTCCTGAGTTGGGAACTCTTCCCTTCAGCTCATGAATCAGCTGTGACAACCAGTATTTGTCCTCCTGTGTCCATGCTGCCATATAAGCTTAGCTATAAACTGATTTTATCATGCGTAAAATTAGCTTCTACTAGACACATGCAAGTCAGATTTGGTGAACACTGTAGTAGGTCAGTGGTCAGATTATGTCACAAATGACATAATCTACTTGACAGATACTACTTGACATTAGCTCACCAATAAGACCATCATCCATTGTACAATTTTTTTCTAAGAACTAGATATTACAGTTTCTGAGTCAGCACTCACATCAAAGCGGATTTATGTTGTCCGGTTTTGTAGGATACTCCTTAGAGATGCTTTTAATGGAGTATTAACTGGCAGTAAAACTTGGTTGGTCTTCTCTGGCTCTCTTGTGGTGTACCTCAAGGCTCAACCCTAGGGCTTATTATTTTCTTGGCAGTTTTGCTTCTGCTTGGAACAACCATTTGTATGTTTAATATTAACTCTCACTGTTACAAACATCATCTGGCCAAATGAACTTACGAGTTTTATGCGCACAAATACAAGGCTCATAATTTCCTACAGAAAATAGAGATAAAACCGAGATAGAGAGAGTTGGTAATTTCACATCTAAATACAGTGAAACTGAAATGGAAATCACCGTCTGAAATCTGTGAGTTAATAGTAACCTGGACTTTGAGGCTGATATCAGAAACATTAATATAATTTGCATTTATCACTTGAAGACTGTCACCAAGGTCAGACCTTTTCTTTCCCAAGATGACACTGAAACACTAATGCATGCAAATTATAACTTGTCTAGATTGCTGCAATGCACTTTATGATGACCTATCAAAGAAAACTATTCTACACCTGTAATTTGTACTGACTAAAACCAGGAATGCACATATCCTTCTGATATAACAATCACTTCACTGGCTCCCACTCAAATTCAGAATTTGTCCATTTGCCCCCAATTATTGTACATAAATGATCTCTTATAATTCCTTGAGCTTCTAACACAGCTCTCAAATTCACTGACTTCTTTCTGTTAACTATACTGTCATCCAGAACCAAAACCTTCTATGGTGAGTAGAACTTGAATAATAAATCGATGAATTGATTAGTCGATCCATACAATCAGTAACTATTCTGATGATCAATTTATCCCTAATCTTTACTAAAATGAACTGTCTCTAGCTTCTTAAATGTGAATATTAGGTTGTTTGTTCATCTAATATCACAATAAATTAAATCTCTTTTGATTTTGGATTGTTAGTCAGAAAAAACAAGCAATTTTAATACATCATCCATAACACAACACTTTATTATGAGGAACATAAAACTATTTTTTACACTTTACTTACATTACACAAATTAAGATAAATTATAAAAAATGTCAGCATTTTGTCATATTTAATGTTAAATTGTTCAGATTATTTCCTTTAACTGATTCAGTTTTTGTCTTATCCCTCTCCTTCCATCTTACTCAGTTTTATTTCTCTTTCATTATTCTTCATTACAATTTCTATTAAATTCATTACTTGAAAAGCAGATTAAATTGTATGACAACAGCCACATAAATAAGGTATTATTGTTTTTGGAAGTCTCTGCCAATGAAGGCTGATGATAAATTAAAGCTACAATTTTAGCTTTATTTACAATAATAAATGTTTCTCCTTAGACCTCCTCCTGATAATGGTGTAATGTACAATGACAGACTGACCCAACAGTTATACAATCTATGCAAAACAAGATTGTATTATTTGACTTTGTTCCAGTGTTGCCTTTAGTGTCGTGTCAACTGTTCTTAGACCGTATCATCACTCTTTCCATTTTAACCTTGTTGACTCTCTTTACATCACTGCAACCCGCTATTTACCACTATTTGTCACTGTCAGTATTTTTACACTCCCTCGACCCCCAATTCCTATCTTTAACATCAGTGTGTGCACAAGTGTCCGTTCATGTGTCCGTGTTTCTGATAGGTTGTGGTAACAGGGTGTATACTTTTGAACCATTATCAGACTCTTCAAACCGTGCAGCTGAACAGGTAATGATGATGATGATGATGATAATGATAGAGAGGTAAGACTTTGAGGAAGGGGAGATAATGGAGGTGTTCAAGGAAAAGGGAGAGCATATCTGGTTATAGAAAGAGATATACCATATATATAACAGAGATGTGATGTAAGGTGTAGTTTGGGAGAGGAATCTAGCAGTAAAACCCTCTTCTAATTCCACTTGTCATATGTCAGAGTAGTAGCTGAGTAGATACAATGAAACTGACACTGGCAAGTGGCAGGAGAAGGTAGATATCAAAATCCATTTTCAACCCATTCTTAAAGCTGCTTTAAGTGATTTCTGACCACTAGAGAACAGAAATTAGACTTCAGAACAAACTCGCAGTGACAAGCCACGACATAGCTACTATATCAAATTTAAGTTCTTAAAGGAATAGTTCAACCTTTTTAGGGAAATGCGCTTATTTGCTTTCTTGCAGAGGGTTAGATGAGAAGATTGACACCACTTTTTTGTCTCCAGTCTCTAGAGCTAAGAGACAGTTTGCTTATGTCACTGCTGCCCAGAGATAAAATAATAAAATAAAATAACCCCTCAAATAAAGAATAATTGTGTTTGTGTTTACTTTAGATTGAGCTGTTTTTTAAAGAGGAGCAGGTCCGCCATGTCGAACCGCCATGTTTCTACAGTAGCCAGGACAGACAAACCTGGCTCAGTTTTGCAGCCACTGTAGTTTCTCCTACAAACTTAAAACAAGAAGGCAGTGCGAGAGCATTGCAATCAGCAAATACGCCGCTAGATGCCACTTAATCCTTCACACTGGACCTTTAAATAAACAAGATATTAGCAAGTTTTAGATGTGCTTTTTTTCAGTCTTTATGCTAAGCTAAGCTGGCCAGTGTCAGTCCAGTCATATATAATGGTCAGATATAAGAGTGGTATCAATATTTTCAAGCGAGTGAGAGTGTTGTCCTGGCAAGCTAACAGCAACCAGCTAGTTCAACAGAAACAGTATTTTTCTAATCAACTGTCAAATGGAAGTCATTAGGGACATGAGAAAAATGACCCTTTAGCTTGCTGTGTTTTCTTTCAAGCCACCAACCAAGAACTGCAGAGATTAGAGAAATTAGACCAATAATGGATTAAAAACTGACTTTGTTAGAAACAGTATTTTGCATACAAAATAGGACAGAAACATCATGTTCTTTGTCATTTATTGTTGTGAGCCTGTGGTGTTTGAATCAGTGGGAAAGGACAAATGCTGAGGTGGAAAGGGAAATTAAAATCACCAGAAAAGAAGTAGTGTCTCTAAAGTTGTTCTCTGTTGAGATTTCTTTCCCCTGCTGCCACTCGTGAGCTCTTCAGTTTAGAAATGAATTAAACTTAATTAGTCTTCATGCTTAATTGCTGTAGTACCCATTTTACCTTGTAAAGGTATCATGTCTGTTCAAGTCAGTTACTGTTCTGCATTAGATCAGGGCGTATTTCTTTTGATGTACACAATACATTTGTGGTATTAAATTCGAAATCCTTTGATCCAGTTTTATTATTTAGTTTATTAGAGGTTCTGTCTGGTTTTGTTTTTGATACCTAGCCCTTGATTTGGAGGGCTGTTCGCGTCTGTGATGGTTAAATATGGACCTGCACTTCTGCTCTACTTACTTTTATTTTCGGATGAATAAAACTACTAAAAGTACATCCTCAGTTATAATTGTTGGCATTTAGCTGACACTCTTAACCAGAGCCAGTAACTGTGTTTTCATCCAAGTATTTTATGCAAATTGTGACATATTCAATTAGGAATCCTGAATAAAAACAGCAAGTTTGAACAGAAAAAAATCTCACTCACAAAAAATGCTTTTATGCTTGTCTTAGTCAGAGAGGAGTTTTCATCTAAAAAGAAATTATGCAATAGTGATGGGATGTGTTGAATAAATTATGACCTAAGGATGTTTGCAGCCTAATGTTGTCTAAAAAAGATCTCTCTGCCACAGCCTCAAAGACATGCTTACCCTGTGTCTTTCATATACATAAATCTATGTTTGGTAGATTTATGTTTTACCCAAACAGCTGTTATGTCACCATGTGTGGATAAGAAATGTTGAGTCATAGTTTCCACCCTTTCTCTGCTCCTAATTATATATTTCATGTGTTTGTACTTGAATTTGTAATCAATTTCTATTGCTTTTACAATCAGACAGTTCTGTTTGATAGATCGCTGATCATGTATTTTAAAGTCTCCTCTCGATGGTGTGGGTGCTTCGTGCTTCTAGTTTAATATTCTCCTAGAGGCCGGGCACTCTTATCGCCTCAACACCAAACCATCTTCACCGCCAGCCTCCTCTCTTTTCACTTCAAGATGATCACAGCTGACATTTAATCTCTGCGCTCCACAAACAGGGCTGGACTCTGTTAATGACACATGCGTATGGATGAGCCTTCACTGACAATCAGCAGGGCAAATACAGAAAGTACAGCTCGTTCTGCTGGCTGCAGGCTCACCCCTCAGACACTCGCACATAATACTGTAGTATACCAGGCAGGTGTGCTCTCTCTGTATTAAACGCATACATCTAGTCCTGCGTCCTGTGAGGGTGATCTATGGATGGTCCAACAGTTGTAATATAAACCAGCGTACATGTAGGAAGCCTGCGACTGTGTGTGTGAGTGTGTGTGTTATAATCGTTTTATAACGTTCGTTATAATCGTTTATCTGTGTGTTGCAGATCACGTGACTGTGGGTGGCCTAGGTGACAGTTTCTATGAGTACCTGCTGAAGGCCTGGCTGATGTCTGACAGGACTGATGAGGAAGGCAAGAAGATGTACTATGACGCCCTGCAGGTAACTCACACTGCTGACATCCACACGCACGCTAGAACTCTCTTCAGTAAAGGCAGAGGTAGTCGATTGATCGATTAGTTGATCGACAGAAAAATAATAGGCAACTCTTTTGAGAATCGATTAATCAAAAATGTCAAATGTTCTCTGGTTTCAGCGTCTAATTTGTGAGAATTGGTTGCCCTTTTCTGTTTTATGTGATAGCAAAATATTATAATACTGATATTTTAATTACAAAGTGATTCAATCAATTAATTGAAAAATTGCTGCAGCCCTAGAATTCACATTTACAATTACCACAAAATTTACAATTACCACTGCAGTAACTATTGTAGGTTTATACTGTAATTTTATATATATATAATTTTGCTGTTAAAACATTAACCTCACCAGGGTCTGTATCACTGATTTTGTGATCTACATCTTGATTTGGAAGTAAATTTTAGATTTTGTGTTGAGAGAGTGGTCCAAATCTGATTCTTGTACAACTGATCCATAATTTGTATTTACAGCTGTAGCATGTGAAGTCTGATGTGAAAAAAATCTCCAAAATGTACAGCTGAGTCACCTAACAATGCGTTAAAAAAAGATTTTAGTCTTATATTGAGTGTTACATGTTTGGAAGTGCTTAATTAAAAACGTTTATGCTGCCATAAATGAAGACCAGCTGTTGAAATGATGATTAGCCAAAAAGTTCATTATATACCACTGGAGTAAGAGTATTAACTAAGTTGTTTCTGAAGTTATTTTTCTCATGCTTTCATTAGATTAGTGACAGTACCCTCTTCTCTAAAATAAGGAGCTCACTATATCAGTGTATATTACATTAACTATAATTCATTTTAAAAGTTCTCCTATTACTCAAGTTATTTTTCTTATTTCTTGTGAGATTAATGACTTCATTTCCTCCTCTACATTAAGGATGTCAGCTCTTTGAATGCTGTATATTAGAAAGTCAGTCAGTATTAACGCTTACACCTTCAACTTTTCTACCATATTAATGTTTAGCTTAAAGAGGGAAAGCTTCCTCACAGTGTGTCTGACAAACTGTTTTCTGTGTTTAATAAGTTTTCCTTTAGTGTCGATTGACACTTTAGAAAACCCTTATCTGTCTGTGGGTTATTCCTCTGACAGCTGCAATTGTACAACTGAAACCGAAGCCATCATTTGTCACCTATCTGCAGGTCCCTAAAAGCATCATCTGTGACTGGTGTTAAGCACTCTTTCTGTCCCAGCCATCACACCATGTTACAGAACTGATCTCTGTGGGTTGTAATTTCCAATCTGCTGCACTTTTACCATTGACAATTGTGGTTTTTCGAATGGCTGTACAGCCCTGAATGAAACATAACATTGCGTTTGTATCCATATGTGGAAACTTTAACACTACAAGAATAACCACTAGACAACTGTGAATGTATAATATGCAGCCAGTGTCCTCTAATTGGAAGCTGAATGGAGAAAATGAGGGTTTGAACTAGCTGTTGACACATGGTGAGCTGCATGGATTTCCTCCACAGGGTTTTCTATCCCTCTGAATCATAAATGGCCGTTTGATAATAGTGGACAGCAAACATGAGGTCAGCTTTAGATACTGAAAAGTGCTCCTGCTGTTGTATCAGTCCCAGCAGGGGGCGTATTATAGGAATCCAGTCACCCAAATAACCTTGAAGCTTGCAAGTGTTGCTCATGAGAAAATAAAAGGAATAATTTAAATGATGAACATTATTATTACCATGAATATCTTCTGATGCAACTGAGATCAGAAATTAAGTTTTTTTGGGCTCATGTAGATTTTTATTTTGCTTAAAGTGGCAATTTTGTTTTGAAGTGTTCCCTATCGTTCATTGTTGGGCCAACATTTTCCAATATTTAATGTTTCCCCTTTAATCCTCAAGAGCCATATAGTGAGTTTGAACAGATGGGAAGATTATAGCACAGAAGGAGCTAAACCCACTTTTGTATAAGAAGGCAAAGACGGGGAACAGACAGCCTCCTAAAGTGAATATATAGACGACACACAAATATGCTGACAGCTTTTCAATGTTTAAACATGTTGTCAGCGTAAATTGTGACAAGCGATGGGTCTCTGGAGCTGGAGAAAGCTGATTCTCCGATTGTTTCTCTGTAACACACTGGGGAGCAAATATATATTACATGACGACTAAAATACAGAATAAACCATGCAGGGATAGTTTACCCATAATCCCTCCCAATCTTCAAGGATTACAGGCGTTCTTGGTTTATTTACCAAGAAGAGGCTGGATAAGAAAGAGCAGAAACAGGGTGAAAGGATCAGGACACCCAAATTACATCAAAATTGTTTCTCTTACATTGAATGTTGTCCATCCAGTCTCTTTGAAGCAGTCATGGTTTGATTTCCCTAATAATGCACGGACTGTGTTGTGAGCTGTGTCACTGAGATCTGGGTTTTCTACTGTCTGTGCTCTACCTATTTATATGTGCAGTCTTCAGTCTTCTCTTTATGGATGGAACAATTAATATTTTACTCTGTCACAAGCACACATATTCTGTCCCCCAGGCACTAAAGCGTTTAATTGTTTGCGGATACAAACAGAAGTTAGATAGACAGCAGAAAATTAGAATTGTCAAACAACAAGAAATGTGTAACTTGCTGCTCAGCTTGAAAAAAATACATATTTTTGTTGCTTTGAGCCCCACAAACCGAGTGCTGTTAAATGGATACTTGGGTATTTTTAAACCTGGTCCCTATTTTCCCATGTTTTAGTGACTGATGGGCAATTTTTGAAATTGGTCCAGCATTGAGTGAGAGCACTGCAGCCAGCATCCACAAAACTGCCTGCAATCCTTCCGGTCATATGCGTATGTCAGCGTGCAGACACTAAACGTGCACATTCTTGCCCCTGACAGGCTCCGATTGTTATTAAAAGTGTCAACAATGGTATGGAAAGGAGCCCTACAGAGACGGACGTTTTTGTTAAAGAGTGAGATCCTTTTTGTTCAATCAGAAACAGACATTAAAAAGCAGAGGCCAGTAACTTCCGTGTTCTGCAAAGTAAAATTACTTTTAACAGAGCAATATAACAAATGTTTCTGGTTACTTTTTCGACAAAAAGGTCTTTCTCAGTGGGGATCCTTTCCATAATGTTATCAGACACTTACAATAACCATCTGAGCCTGTCAGTGTGAAAAACAAGCTCTTTGAGGCTACATTCACACTGCGAGCCTTGATAAAAGACTGATTTATTGCTCAGATCTGATTTTTTTTGTTTGGCTGTTCACATTATTATTTGAATTTGGTCCATATCAGATTCCAGTGTGAACAGGTCACAGTGTATCTGACGTTACAGGTTGAAAAATATCAAGGTCCTGGGGTCGTGGCAGGTATAAACTACTGTATGTGAAGCAAGTGGTAGTCTGGTTAAGAGGTAAAATAAGTTTATAAGACTATGTTTTTAAAGCGACAATCTTTTAACCAGCTGTCTTTAAAATGGAAAAACTGATCCAGTTGCAGCTCTTTTATATGATGCAAATTAAAATAACTCAATATGTTGCAATAGAAATAATTCTACATGGAAGAATAAAGTCATATTTAAAATCTGCACTCTCAGATGTTCTGGAAGAGGATAATTACAGATTATTGGACCAAAGACGTTTTTTCTTTCCATGTTTGCATCATCACTTCAATCAGACCTAAAAACCTTCTTTATTTTTGTCTTCCAGGCAATAGAAACCAACCTGATCAGGAAGTCTAGCGGTGGGTTTACCTACATAGCGGAGTGGAAGGGGGGACTCCTGGAGCATAAGATGGGTCACCTGACCTGTTTCGCAGGGGGCATGATCGCTCTGGGGGCTGATGGGGCGCCCAGCGACAAGACGGGCCACCAGATGGAGCTGGCCGCCGAGATCGCCCGGACCTGTCACGAGTCTTACGCCAGAACCGGTAAACATGCACACAAAGAGGACAAAACAAGTCCTGTTTGGGTTTCAGCTCATTGTTGTCTGTTTGTTTTAGTCTCAGTGAAGAAAAAACTTTAGTTTGTTCTAAGAAAAGTTTTAGCCGTACGTAAAAGAGTCTTAGTTTAATAACCAGATCCACAGTTACTGCATGAAATAAATACAGGGAACTTATTGCTTATATACGAAAGGTTTAGGTTGTATAATGCTGTCCTTGTACTTGTCATCCTTTTCAGCAGGAATTAGCATTTATTCAAAGAAAATGGGTCTTATTGTTATCTTCAATCGGAAAGTTTTATTATGAGTCATCATGTTTTAAAGACAGGTCTGCAGAAACATTACCGCTAGCAGCTGAGTAACATATTTTACCTGAAGTTTGTAGCATTATTCTGCACTGCGCCCATATAATTCAGTGTAACATTACATAAATATATAGATATAGAGAGACATATTCTTTAAGGTTATATTCAAAATGCTTCTCTCCTTTAGCTACGAAGCTGGGTCCGGAGGGCTTTCGTTTCGATGGCGGGGTCGAAGCCATCGCCACTCGCCAGAATGAGAAATACTTCATCCTCCGTCCCGAGGTCATAGAGACATACATGTACATGTGGAGGTTCACCCACGACCCCAAATACAGGGAGTGGGGCTGGGAGGCTGTTCAGGTAAAACATTTGTTAAACTGAAACTTAAATTGCGGTTTGTCATATTGTATTTAGAACGAAATGTGCAATTTGGACAGAAATGTTCTCATTTGTGTTCTTACTGCACATGGAAGGAAACCTTATTTCAATGATATTTTGTGTTGATTCTGGCAGCCCCTGTGGACACAAGCAGTAGTGCATTGTTTAATTGTCTTCGCACTGAGGGTCTTGTTTGTGTCTGTGGGTCATATAGAGGCATCTCTTCACAACCAGCTGAACACTCCTTGCAGTACGTTTAAGTAGAGCTTTATTGATGTTGCAGTCACTGATGTCTGCCCTTGTTTCTGTTTGCCTGTCTATCACCGCCCCCCCCCCCCATTCAGGCCTTGGAGCAGTATTGTAAAGTAGAAGGAGGCTACAGCGGCGTCCGAGACGTCTACGCTTCGAGTCCCAGCCACGACGATGTGCAGCAGAGCTTCTACTTGGCCGAGACACTCAAGTAAGACACACAAACGTCTCTATACGCACACCCTTCACTTCTGTCCTCTTATGATTGTGCTGTCATCACACTTTATGGGAGGGACAAGGCCCCTGAATCCCCAAACTGACAGACACACACACACACACACACACACACACAAAGTTTGATGTTGTCATTCATTCAGAATAAGCTCTAGAGAGTGGCTGAGGTCACTGGCAAGGTTCCCTCACTCTGTCTCACACACACAGGCTGCTGCAGCTTTAAGTTTCAGCCTTCTTACTCAAGGTGGATACAACATTAAGCTGAAAAATGAGATAAAGATTGATAAACAAAATGAAGAATAATTCACTCAGACATTCAACACCATGACCAGAGAGGTCGGTGTCTGCAGTAGACGCTGTAGCTCTGTCAGACACATGCTGCCACTTAACAACAGTATATTAATCATAACATACTTCATATTTTGGGTCAAAATGAGGACTTTTGAAGATTAACTCTTAATCAGTGGCTCCCAGCCTGCCGTCAGGATCCATTACGCTGTTCCAACGTACTTTTGGGGGGTTGTAAGATGGTTAACAGGATAGCAAAGAACTGCTGCAGATACTAGATCATTTTACCTCTTTTATCCTTTAAAAAATAGAAGATAGATGAAACTTAAAGTTGGGGGTAACAGTAAGATATTGCTTTATTTTATTTATTGTTTAACTTCTCGACTATTTGGAGCATTTGTTTTATCAGATAGTTGACATTTGAGATCTGACAGGAAATGAGAGAGCAGTGGGGGACGACGTATAACAAAGGTCTCTGGTTGGACTCAAACTGGGGATGTTGGGATCACATGGTTTTCACATGGCAGTTTTCACTTTGCTGGCAACATTTCCCAGTTGTTACTGCCCCAGTAAAATAACCTTTTTTCACCCGCAAAATAGGAAAAGACTAAAAATCTTTAATGTGCAGGCACAAATGGTCAGAAATCCAGCGGGAGCAGGATTAAGAAAGAAGTCCCGCCCGGGGCTCTACCCGAGACCACCAGGTCGCCCTGACACTGCTTCATTTTAAGGGGTTGTGCCATATTGATACTGCAGGTCTATGAAAGGTGACCTGCTAAATCTTTCAGCATGAGTGGTGTTGTACAGTGGTTTTTAATATTGCAGTGGGGCAACTTCCACCACCCCATGCTTCAGGGTGCACATGCAAACCACGAGCACATGGGGGGTGACAGGAAACACGTTTGTGTCGACTGTAGAGGACAGTAATTTAAATGACATAAATATACGTCAGTTAAAGAGTTAAAGAAGCTGTAGGCTGATGTTACCTGTGCAGGATTCAAAACACTTTAAAGGTACTGTTGATAAAACTAAAATAACTAATGCTATCTGGACATATCAAATCACATATTGTAGCTTTAAGCTTGAATAGACTTTAGATTAAACGCAATGGAATGATTTCTCCAGAGACATGTAATAATATGAAAATAATCAGAAATAAATGTTGTAGAAGTAAACCACTGTGAATACAGAACAATAACATACCAGTTATCACAGCAACCACGTATATTTGATCTATTAATTTGTAAAATGATCACACAGGATACTAAATAAACCACTGCTGGTACGATCTACGCTACATAAATATGACCATGTATTGATAGATTTCAAATTAACCACAATTAATAAGAAAGTATAGTAAATTTAATTAATGCAGACAATCCCAAAGTGTTGGTGTTAAAGGGTTAATATACTCAGAGGTTGCTCTACAAGAAGAATAGAAAGAAAAAGAGAGAAACTGTGAAAAACACCACAGGCAGCTTCTTTCTCTTAATAGTCACTTGATAGTTATACTTAACTGCCCTTGTGTGCCTGTCTGAGTTTGTATGTGTTAATGTATGTGTGAGGGTGTCAGCCACACAGTGTGATGTGTGGTGGCTAATAGGGGCTTCTCCTCTCTGATGGCGCTCCAACTGCGGACGGACGACGGTCTGTTTAAATCATGACGAGTGATCCCAGCTACAGTTTAATGAGTGTGTGTGTGTGTGTACTCTCTATGTGTGTGTGTCTGCCCATGCTATTTTATCCGTATTTCTTATATGTAGATTGTATTGGAGCAGCCAGCCCTGGCAGACTGACAGCTGCACAAGTTGTTTGTCGTCTATTTCCGGTTCTGTCTGTTATTTACTGGAAGTTATTCCATTTATTATAAAATGGGAAGACACAGAAAATCCTTATTTTAATACCATCAAGTGGCAGAATTTTTTACTCTTCTGAAAATGCTATTTTGATTAAATATTCACTACTTTTGATTTTAAATGTTAGGGTTGCATTTTAAGATTGTTGTTATTATGGATTAGTCTGTCAGTTATTTTCTAGACTAATAACTCAACAGTTTGTCAGAAAGTACTGAAATACGTCTGTCTTAGTTTACCAGAGCAGTTGTCTCCAAACAAAGGTCCAGAACTCAAAAAAATTCAGTTTATATTAAAGAAAACTAAGAAAAACAGAAAGTTTAGATGTTTGCAACCAGAAAATAATCTGTAACCAGTGAATTTTTGATTTAAATTGTGCATTTTTTCCCTTTAAAAAACAATGAATCAATTATCAGAGTAAATGCAGATTGATCTGCTGTTGATTAGTCGACCCACTAATATTACCAGTATATTATCTATTATGATTGTTGTTGGTATAAAAGGAGTATGACAAGGAGCTCTTATTGGTTTTTGTGTTTGGATAGTAACAACTGGTTGGGAACTCTAATTGGTCAACTAACCTTCGACACCCTCTTGTTACCACATCTGACCTTTTCTTACACTTGTGCTCTAAACATCAGAGGTTGTGTTTAATTACACGTTAATACATATGTTTCTCATTAAACGAGTCCTTCTTCTAGTTCTTGTTTTTAATCCATGAAACCAGTTCAGCAGCCTCTGTGCTCTTCTTTCTCCCACTCTTCCTCCAGATTTATCGTCCTCTCTGTTTCCTTTACTTCCCATCGAATCTTTATGACCTCCCCCCCATCTCTCTCCCTCCACTTCTTCTTTTTCTGTCGTTTTTTTTTTTTTTTTTTTCCCCCACGCCAGACAGCTGTTGACAGGAAGTCAAGGTTAGCCTAACAGAGCCTGATGGGGGCGAGGTGCCATCCAATGCGCCTTTTTTATAGGCAGTAAATTTTAACAAGCGTCACCTCTACTCCTGATTACACCACATACACACACACATACACAAACACACATACACAAACACACTCAAAGTAAGATGTCTGGATTGTTTTTGCAGAACAGCTTGTGAAAATACCAATAAAAGTCGTTTTTTTTCTGTTGATCAGTGTCGTAAAATCCTATTCATCCAACATGAAACAGTCCAAACACGATATTAATGCCTTCGTAGGCACGCTTAAATGTTTCCAGGAGTAGCAGTACGAAAAAAAAATATCTCATTAGCTCCCGACGGGCGACTAGAAGAAAAATATGAGTGCAATTGACCACCAGCCTGGACAGCAGCACAATAATTAGCTCATCAGTCAAGCCGCATCATATCCATGATATCAGAGATGGACCTCACTGGACACTGAAAATATCAATCCCATTTAGCAGCCAACCCATAAGTCTAATCCTCCTAATGTTACATGGAGATCTTGGCATCGTGCAGAGCCACTTCCAGTATTCATCTTCCCACTGCTGCCAAGGACACGGCCATACTTCACACTGCTGCCTGCCTTCAATCACTCACTGCTTTCTAGTGCTTTCTAGTGGTTCACTGGCAGGCGGAGGAGGACTGGGGGGGGGCTTCGTGGACAACCAGCTCCTCCCTTTTTTCTTCGGTGGGATTTTCTTTCACAGACACTCTTATTAAAGAACTCATTTGCTTTCTTTTTATTGATCCCTGTTGTTTTTGCTCTTCATGATGAAATCTGAGGTGATGGACCAGCAACTGTCTTAGAACTCGCTTTATTTACTTTTCTTTCACACCACTCTTTTGTTTTATAATGTTATTGAAGTTGTTTCATAAGATCTGATGACATTGAACCGCAGAATTTCATCACTTCTGGTTTTATAAAGTGGTCAGTGCCGATCCGCACCCATCCTTCCCTCTCAGTTTCACATCTGGTTTCTTTTTTTCTTTTTTACAGGACTGCTGTTAATTATTACAAAAGCTGAACACAACTCAAAATAATATCTAAGACACTCAACAGGAAACAGTGCAGATCCCAAAACGAGTCATCTTCATAAAGAAATGGAGACGGGAGCTGAAACATTTCATTGAACCAGTAAACTGTCTGTGCTGAATGGGAACAGATAACTGGAACCTACAGCAGATGTTACAGCTTTAGTCCACTCACAGTGTTCATCTTTCTAATATTTTGTTATTTTCCTTGTTGTCTTTGTTTTTCCCTTTTTGTTGATGTGTTTTTACTTCCCTAAAGGTCTTTTGTGGTAATGGGGCCATGTTTAATGGTTCAAGTGCAACAACCAGCGCAAATTAGTATCACAGCTGTCTCCGGGTACACCTGCTATTTTGGTTATTATATGTGCTGGTTGATGGAAAAACACCTACTGAGGGTTTGGTGATAAATAAATACTCTGAGCCAGATTCACTAAAGGTCTCACAGCTCTGAAACAGAAGAGCGTGAAAACAATGACTCACCAAATGGAGAAATGGATATTCCAGGAAATAATATTAGATTTTTGGGGGGAATTTGTAATGCACATTTGAACTAAACTGGTTGGAAAGTGTTTTATTAAAGTTAGGATTTTATTTATTTACATGTTTGAAGGTAAACGCCACCATTTATTACACATGAATGTCCGTTTATATGTCTTTGGAGGTACTGTTATAATTACTGTTGCAAAATCTGATAAATTGCCTCGAGTGATGTTACTTAAAATATATAAATAATATAAAAATAGATTGGAAATGAGCTTTACTACACCACTGAGACTAGCAGCTCGAGGCTACATTATTTGCTACTAGCATTACAGCTCACTGACTGACCTCTCCGTGGTGGAGTTGCATTGTGGGTAATGTAGGCGGCAGGTTTTGACAAGGAAGAAGAATGTGTGCAGTAAAAAAGACTGTAACTCTAGTTCTGCTGCATCAGTATCCACCGTGAGTCCGACCGTGTCTGTAGGAGGAACAACCTCTTATTCCATAATCTGCTCCAGAGTACTCAGTTTGCCCTTGTTTCAGAATCAACAAATCCCCTCGCAGTGTGACTTTGAAATTAGAAGTTAAACTGAGGATTGATGTCTTTTTCTGGCACAAACAGAATCCAACAACTGTCTTCGCACTGCCTTATTTCAGTCACTGTATGCAGTGCATGCTGGGTCGGGAAGCACGCAGACAGGCACAGTGAAGCGTAAGGTCATGGAAATACCAAACTGTCGGAGGGCTGCTCGTGCTGCATGTTGTGCCAACATGAAAACAGAGCCCTTGATCACAATATCTGAGCCTCTGTATTTATTTTTAAAAGCTAGCTGATGCACTTCCTTCTCCAGGGTGCGTTCAATAAACTCTTCCCTCCTGTGTCTCCTTCAGGTATCTCTACCTGCTGTTCTCTGACGACGACCACCTACCGTTCGACCACTGGGTCTTTAACACCGAGGCTCACCCTCTGCCCGTCATCAAGAAGGACAAAACAGACAGACCCAACGAAGTGGAATAGCGGACCCGCCCGCGCTGACACCTAAAAACAAGTGCGAGAACCTCTGATCCTGTATACCTGAGCCTCCAGCTGTCCATTTGGAGTCACCAGTGGTTACAGATGCCTCTTGATCGGATTTCACTTTTCATTTCTAATGGGATCAAAATAGAATTCAAGCTCGCCGGCGCTGAATTCTTGCTGTAGAATCCAGTTTGTTTTTGTTTGTTTTTTTTTGCTTTAGTTTCATTCAGCTCTGACCTGAACCAACATATTTACTGCCGGATAACGGAACGACACCAACAAATGTAGTGACATCGTCAGAGAGGCGATGAAATAATCTCTGAAGATGTCATTACGTTGAGCAGGTTTTTATTTCTTTGATTCAGAGGGACAGTCTGACCAGTCCTCACATTAATCGTCAGTGATTTTGTTGTTAGTAGCTACAGCTGCGCTCTGCTGTGTTGTTGTTCGTGAAGGAGAAACAGTGACAGACCTGATCCCGTCGTCTCTCTGATGTTATGATGTTTTTTGGACCGGAGCTCTGGGCGGCAAACTCCAGGAGAAAAAATATAAAACTGTCGTCTGAGGATTACAAGGCTGACTTAGTGAGCTAAAAGACGCTCCGTTCACTTCACACGCGTCGTTGTTTCCTTCTGCTGTACCGCTTCAGTATCTGAATAGAAACCGGTTTCCGTGCGCCAACGCTGGTGCCGCCACCGCCACCGAACTTCTGCATCATCTTCAGAGGACCATTTGCTTTTATAAAAAACCTGGTTGTCTCTGTGGGAGTAAAGGAAAGGCGCAGCACAACCCGAGCCTCTTTTTTAACCCCACAGTACTTTTAGACCTCTGCTCTGCCCCCCCTCAGTCCCCCGAACCCCCGACTGCTTCCCTTCCTCTTGAGTTTTGGTGTGACACAGGACGAGCAGCCACACCAGCTCTCTACCTGCCAGTAATTCCACTTTCTCCCCACGACGTTTACACATAAGCTCCCCTCTTCTTCTCCTTCTGCTGCTCATCCTCACTTTGTTGCATCTTTTCTGGCTTGTTGGATTCTGGGTTTATTTTTCTTTCTCACATTTACACCGACATTTCTGGGGTTTGACCGATACAGGTGTTTGGGGTTTGCAGTTTTCCCCTCAGGATCTTATTTGGCGCCAGCTCAATCTCAACGATTACAGGGTTTTGAAATCAAATGAAATCGTTGTTTGACTAAAAAACAAAAAGAAAGTCTCACCTCAAGGTCTACGTTTGTTGAGCTGTCAGCCACATTTCACGGTCTTCCTCAGAGTGTTCTGTGCTGTAACGCAGCATGGAGATGAGTTCGGCTGTGAGATGGAGTTAAATGCTCTGTAAAAAGCAAGTAAGTGGACCTTGAGTTAGCTTTTTTAGTTATTTACGTATGTTTGGAGAATCAGGAATTAACTTTGACACTCAACGTTGTCCTATAAAGATCTTCAACATCCAAAAATTCAATCTTATTTCTTTCCTCCTCCTACAAATGTTAACATCCTTCAACATTAGTATGCATAGAAACAGAAATCTTGGACCCTTGTAGATCCACTGAAGAGGACACTGATTGATCATATTCATCTGCAAACCCTATCTGTTTGTCTGTATCTGTCCAACCCTCCGTCCTCCAGGTCCAGCGTACGGCCGGCTGTAGGATTTTCCCTCCTCTATGAGGAGACGCGGACACTCGAGTTTGCTGTAATATTTCACCTTCACACAC